AAGAGCTGGCCTTGTAATTCATGCAAGATTTCTCTGCTGCCATCACGTTGGGCTCCGATCACTTCAAAGAGAGTTGTCCTCACTCATCCTCCCTTACCCTGGCACTGGAGAACTGGAAGTGATGATGAAAACTACCTCACCTAACGCTAGGGTCACAGCAACAGATGCACCCTGCTAAAAGACAAAAAGCAGTCAGGCAAGTTCCATGGTGTAAAACATATTACGGCAGCTGGATCCTGGAAACATATAATAAAACACCACGCAAAACAGCAACACACACAAGCTTAATGAAAACCTGATGAAAGACTGTTTAAAAAAAAAATAAAAGTACTGAATCTAATTAATTCTCTAGACGTGGCTAGCGCAGTTAAACTAAGGTCACAAGTACTGCATACTACACTTGAATTTTATAAACCACCTTGAGCAATTAGTGCCTCCCACCACAATGAGTTATAAACCAGTCACTGGCCCCATAGAGACATGTCTCATCACATTTTGATGTCCCTTCTTGTGGCACAACACCCTGCTCATCATGCAAAGCTCAAGGACAGGGCAGGAAAGCATTTGACTAAAAATACATTTGTATTGAAATAGTCACGCACAAGTTTCCTAGTTGGGGGACATAAAGAGAAGCATCTCCACCACCCTAAGTGGAAAGTTTAAGACAGCCAAGCCAAAACAAACCAGAGGGAGACAAACCATTCCAGTGAACCCCAGCATCAATGGCAAATGCTGGAAAAACCAACCATGGCTAAGATTACACACAACAGAGAGCTACCCTCAACATCCTGAAGCGGATGTGAAATTGAACTCTCCGAGTGCACGTGGCCCACCAGTGTAAGACCCCTGGAAAGGAGGCCTCTCAGTTGGAGGGCACAGCAGAAGTTCAGCCAGCTCTTAGTAGATGAATGAGTTTTCCCCCTTTTAAGGGTTGCAAAGACACAGCACCTACTGTGAGACAGCACATCTACAGACCAGTTTGCCACACAGAATCACAGAAACACATGGGGTTAGAAGGGACCTCTGGAGATCATCTAATCCAACCCTCCTGCCAAAGCAAGTCCACCCAGAGCAGGTTGCACAGGAACATGTCCAAGCAGCTACTGAATGTCTCCAGAGATGGAGACTCCACCACCTCTCTGGGCAGCCTGTTCCAGGGCTTTGCCACCCTCAAAGTGAAGAAGTTCCTCCTCACGTTTAGATGGAACTTCTTATGTTCAAGTTTGTGCCCATTTCCTCTTGTCCTGTCCCTGGGCACCACTGAAAAAAGACTAGCCCCATCCTCTTGACATCCGCCCTTTAAGTATTTATAGGCATTGATCAGATCCCCTCTCAGCCTTCTCTTCTCCAGGCTGAACAGACCTAAGTCCCTCAGCCTTTCCTCGTAAGAGAGAGACTCCAGGCCCCCCATTATCTTTGTAGCCCTCTGCTGTACCTTTTCCAGCAGTTCCCTGTCCTTGAACTGGGGAGCCCAGAACTGGACCCAGTGCTCCAGATGGGGCCTCACCAGGGCAGAGCAGAGGGGCAGGATGACCTCCCCCAACCTGCTGGTCACACTCTTCCTGATGGCCCCCAGGATGCCATTGGCCTTCTTGGCTACAAGAGCCAACATCAGGAAGTTCTTTCACGTGAGGTGCAAGGAATGGATGTACTTGAAGTGATGCATTTGCTACAGGATGCCAAAGAGCATAAGACAGAAGAGAAACAGCAGAGACCACTCAAGACACATCTACCTATTAATGCTCCAATATGAGCATCCTACACACTCACAGTACAGCCAGAGGAGCACGCAGGGTCCATGACCATAAAGAATGGCTAACTGGAGACAAAGAGCTTCGTTGTGCCTGCTGTCCCTCCCTCGCACCCCACGCTCAGCAAGGAACAAGCACGGAGGCACCCCTGCTATCTGAAGGATACTACATGGAAACTTTACTTAGAAACAAAATGACAACAGGGCACCAATAAAAAACCCTTGCAATTTCACAGTATGTACTTTCTCAAGCACCAGGGACATACATTGTGTAGCTTACATCAGATGCAAGTCTGCAGCTATGGCCCAAGAAGCGGTTGCAACCCAGATATGAAGTTTGCTAGTCCTCTTCTGGCCCTTCCCATACAAGATCACAGCATCACAGAATGATATGGGGTTGGAAGGGACCTCTGGAGATCATCTAGTCCAACCCCCCTGCCAAAGCAGGTCCACCCAGAGCAGGTTGCACAAGAACGTGTCCAAGCAGCTATTGAATGTCTCCAGAGAAGGAGACTCCACCACCTCTCTGGGCAGCCTGTTCTAGTGCTCTGCCACCCTAAAGAGAAGGAAGTTCCTCTTCATGTTTAGATGGAACTTCATATATTCAAGGTTGTACCCATTTATCCTATCCCTGGGCACCACCAAAAAAAGACTGGCCCCGTCCTCTTGACACCCACCCTTTCAGTATTTATAAGCATTGATCAGTTTCCCCCCTCAGTCTTCTCTTCTCTAGACTAAAAAGACCCAAGATCACGCTGGGATCACTCAATTCACCCTGGGACCTTTGGTTCCAAGAGGAAATTATTGTCTGGGCCTCACAAAGAGAACAAAAGCCATTTATTTGAGTAGAAATTACCCATGATTTGAAAAGCAGGTGTACAATGTCCTATCCCCTCATCCTGAAAGCCACAGCAAAACACTTAAGTCATCTGATACAACGTCGCGCTGCATCTCGCCCGTGCACCACAAGAGATACAAGAGTTTACAATATTTTCCCCGTAAGAAAATGTTTATGAGCAATAAGAATCTAGTAAAATGGGAAAGCAATTAAATCTGTTTAGTTTCCTCGTTGTTCTTACAGTCCCACACCGGCAAACTGCTTTACCCACGGAGCTTCTGTATCTTCAGAAATGGGAAGGAAAAAAATCCCCCTCGTCATTGTTCCCCAACAAAGCCAGCATTATTAAACCATTCTCTTTGTTTTGCAGATATTTCCCTTTAATGCCAGGAACCGGGTTAAACTTGCAGACAGGCCTTGACGGCTGGCGTTAGAGAGATGTTCGTGATGCTAACTACAACTGATCATCCCACCCCATCTCCTGGGCCAGATTATATATGTAGAAAGCATAAAAGGAGAGAATTGACACGTTTTTATGTGTGACTTCACATCAATATGCTCAGCCCACGCATCAATTCTGTGCGACCTATAGGCAAATAAAATAATCTTCCTTTACAAAAAGGCTGTATCTCATACAATTAAAAAAAAAAGTCTTAGAAAGAAATCATCATTAATTCTCATTGACTTTAACAAATGAGATCTTTGAAAAGTAAATATTAACAAGCAGCAACGCAGCTGTTAAGTAGCAAAATTAAATATGACAGCAGAGACGCCACTTACTAAAGAATTTAACACCAAATGGAGAAAGCCAAGCATAAGAACCGCGTCCAGTTTGGGGAATTGCAATGACAAGAGCAAAGATCATCAAATTAAAAGCAATAACAGGCTTAGCTCAAGGAACTGCATTGTAATAATAAAAAAAAATAATTAAATCATAAACATATAACTTGTGCACAACAATGACCAAGAGAGAACACAGTAACTAATATACAGTCTGACACACGTAAAATGTCAGGGTTTGCACAGGGCAGCACTGGCCTCGTTTCACCCTTCCCTTTAGATGTGTTGCATCAGTGTACAGCGATAATTAGCTCCCTATTTAAAACAGAGATAAATAAATACTGCTTCCTATCGGGGCCATCAGTGTAATGTACCACCATTCTGCAGGTATCCCTGGTAGTAATAATCATCCCCATTCTCATTTCCAGTCCGACTGCTCCATGCCAAACTAACGTCAAGTCTATTAGCAGAAGAGGATCTACCTGCCCGGGCGAGGAAGAAAAACTCCTTAAATTTGTCAAGCAGTTACAAAGCGCCAAAAAAAGTCACCCTGGTTACCACAAAACCTGAACCTAACACTCAGAAAACACAGAAGCAGCCTTTTGGCAAGGGTGGTGATGGAAGGGGTCCTTGGGAAGCAAACCATAAGGAATAATTCTGCCACGAAATTGACAAGTTATCTGTACGGGGTTGAAACTCTTTGAATCCTATCGGTGAGAGGCCTTATCAATTCTGTTTGTCACTATGCCTTATGCAAAGCAGGTTTTCCACTTCCACGTGAAATAAAACAACCGGTGGTCTCAGAGCAGCGATCCTATTTAGGCTTCTACCTTCTACAGCTGCCCCAGAAGTTGCAACACAGCCCTTTGGATTCCTGAACGTTTCCAACACATTGAGAAAGCTCCGCTGATGTTGCAAGGCATCTTTCACTTAACTCCCTGGGGAGCCAGGACACACACGAATGAAATTCCTTGTAGCAGTTCACAATTCTGAGGGGATCCTTTCTCCAAAGCTTGGGGGGAAAAAACCCAAACCACTTTTCCTATAGCTCTGTAGCCGTACAACGAGTCAACTTCTGAGGGCCATTTTACAGGCTCTAAAAGAAACTTGCAAGAACCTCCCCGTAGTGTCACTACTTAGGAATCCCAGGCCAAAAATCGGGATCCTGGTGCTCGCGCTCCGCAAGAAGGTGAAAATCCAACCCCGGGATCAGCTCTGGGGATGGAGCAGGAGCTCGGGAAGAGCCCAGAGACACAAACCCCTCCGGGAAGCGGCCCCAGGTTTCTTGTTTACCGAGGTCTTCCCATGAGCGTTACAAAAGAATTAATCAGGCGTGTGGGGGCTGAACTGTCAGGAGCCCAAGGCTGAGCAAACCCCACAGAAACACACACACCAACCCACCCCAGCCCTCCCGGAGTGG